ATATATTAATTTTTATTTTTATTTATACTGTGTTACCATTTTAAGATATTGTTTTATATAATACTTTAAATACTTATAAATCATCATTAAATTAATCATTTATAAGTGTTTGATAAGTGCTTAAAAAGTATTCAATTGCATTTGCATTTTTTTCTATTCAATCAGGATTTCCCAGGGACAAATTTCCCAGGATTTCCCAGGGACAAATTTCTCAATCCCAAAATCCTGTGATTGAAAATTTCTGGGACTTTTGCTATCCCTGATACTACAAGTGTGTCATTATTACTGTGCAAATAGTTATTAAAAAACAGGTAAGTTTGAATTAAAATTCTCCAGCAACTGCGAATTCAAAACAAAAGTGAAATTATATTTAGGATCTATTACAGGTTTGTTGTAAGTAATCAAAAAAGTAATGACTTATCATAGAAACTAAAATGTTGTATTAATAGCAAAATAAATAGTTGTATTAATAACAAATTAATTAATAGAAAACTAAGAATGTTAAGAAGATCATTATTAAGACATAAAAATAGGACAAAAAATGTAGCTTGTGGTACCTTAGAGGTTACTGGAAATAACAAAGTGTATAGTTTATCAAGGACAAAACTAAAATAACAGTTAAATAGACTGTTGTTCATCAAGGACAAAAAAAAGTTTTCGAAACTTTGAAAACCTTTCCACAAGGACAAAAAAAAGATTTATCAATTTTGAAAACCTTGCCTTATATATATATATATATATATATATATATATATATATATATATATATATATATATATATATATATATATATATATATATATATATATATATATATATATATATATATATATATATATATATATATATATATATATATATATATATAGCAATGCCTGAAAGAAAAGAGTTTATTTATTAGAGCTCAGAATAACAGAAGACAAAATTGTTTTTATTTAATTTTACAAAATTACATCTTCATTTTCTATAGTGCAATATATAAACACATGAAGATATAAGTGCAATATCATAAGACATGAAGTTGCAATAGACAAATGCAAGTTTCAAATTTTTCTTTGGTTCATTCTCATGACATCATTTTCTTTGCATTTTTTAGATTTTTTTTTTATCTTCGCTTCCAACAAGGCTGCAAGCAACCACTAAATAGTGTTGGAAGTTAATGGAAGAGAAAAGATGAAGATTGTATAGCAAGATGATGATTGACAGACAACTTAAAAGATTGCAAATTATATGAATCAGGAAAGCAAGATGAAGGAAGCGAATTCCAAAGAACTGATGTTTGAGGGAAAAAACTAGACAAATAAGAGTTTTTGGAATACTTAGGAACATTAACAGAAAAAGGATGAGACTTAATTGAATGACGAGTAACACGAGAATAAATTTTAGTAGATGGCACAAGAGACGCTAACTCTTAAGAGCAGTGCCCATTATAGTATTTGTAGAAAAGAGAAAGAGAAGCAACATTACGACGATGTGACAGATGTTGAAGGTTGGCTGCAAGAGCAGATCAAACTATGTTTACAACGCATTTTTGCACCTTGTTTAAAAGAGAAAGAGCATCATTAGAAGATCCGCCCCATATATGGCAATATTTGTATTCCATACAAGGCCGGATTTGAGATTTATAGAGATTTGAATCCAGATTAAGAAAGTGTCGAGGTCGATAAAGAGAAGCAACTTTAGCAGATGCTAATTTTGCAATGGATTTGATATAAGGTTTCCAAGAAAGATCAGAAGTAAGAGTTAATAGAAAGATGAAGGGCAGATATATTTATGAATGATATATTTATATTTAGACCTTCCTATATTTATGAATGGTAATGTACTCTCGAGTACATTATCATTTATAAATATAGGAAGGCCTAAATTATTGCAATAACGATTGGCTGAAAAAAATTAAGTTTTATCTGAATTAAAGTTCACCAGCCACTGTGAACCCCAAGCTGTAGCAGAAGTAAGATCCTTTTCAAGCTCAAATGCCCCATACAAGCAATCAGAGAGAGTTGGCTTCTTATCATGGCAAGAACAAATGGTAGCATCATCAGCGAACACTGCCACCTCAATTGTGAGAATATCAGGAAGGTTGTTAATGTAAATTGAAAATAATATAGGGCCAAGGATTGAACCTTGAGGAACCTCTAAGGTTACAGAATAAGAAGAAGAGTGCTGTCCATCAAGGACAAATTTTATATTAGATTAGAAAGAAAGGATTCAATAATCTTAAAGATGTTTCCAGATATACCGTAAGAAGAAAGCTTATGGAGAAGACCATAATGCCAAACTTTATCAAACGCTTTAGAAATGTCAAGAGTGATGGCCTTAACCTCTCCACCTTTATCTAATGCGTAATAAAACCTATGGGTTATTACTGCTAGCAAATCAGCGGTATAACGAGAAGATCAAAATCTATATTGATGATCAGAAAGTAAGTTATTAGATTCAAGATGAGAGATTAAGTGTTTGTTAATTAAAGATTCAAAAACCTTGCTTATGGTAGGAAGAAGACTAATGGGACGGTAATTAGACGAATCAGATCGCTCTCCAGAATTTTTAAAAAATAGGGATAACAGATGTTGCTTTCCAGCAGGCTGAAAAACAAGACTCTGATAAGCACTTGTTGAATAGTTTTGAAAGGATAGACAACAGCTCCGGAGAACACTTCTGCAAGACTAAGAGATAACAGGTATATTGTCCGAGCCACAAGCTGTAAAAGAATCTAAGCAGGAAATCATTTTAGATACAGAAGCTGGTGTGATACAATTGTTAAGCAATGGATCAACCTGTATGACGGCTATATCAGGTAGAACGCAACTAGTGGAATCAAGAGATGATATTGATGAAAAGTTCTTAGCAAACAATTCAGCTTTGTCTTTAGGTGAGGTGACAAAGTCTGAACCATACAAAAGAGGTGGAATTACAGACTTGCCCTTATTATTAATACTATTAAAGATTCTCCAGAAGTCATGAGAGCCTAATTTTTGTGATGGAATGCAAGATATCATGATCTGAGAATAGCTGGCTTTGGCGTTAGACAAAACCTTTTTACAACGGTTCCTTACAGTAATAAACAGATGTCTGTTTTCTGGAGAATTGTTTTGCTGATAGATTGGGAAGTAATGGTTTCGATTGGCAATTGCAGCAGCACAATGTGAGGAAAACCATGAAAGAGTGAGGCTTGACTTGGAATTGTCGAGAGGGAATAAAGGATTCCATGCCAGCCTGAATCCAGAAAGTTATGTAAGAAGCACATTTGTCAACAGGACGACGAAAGATTTCTACCCAAGAGCCATCACAAAGAAAATTACAAAAAGAGTCCCAGTCAGCTTTTAGGTAGTTGTAAAATGGGATTCTGATGATAAAGTAGAATGAGGTAACAGTTTTAGAGAGACTTGACCATGATCGAAAGCACCTAAGGGTAAATGTGGAGAAACTGAGCACTGACTAGGATCAGAAACAAGACATAAGTCAAGTAGAGAAGGTAAGTGATTCGGGTTGTCTGGAAAGCAAGTTGGAAAGTTGACTATTTGAGTTGTGAGCTTTAATGCCTGCAGAATCACTGACACTAGACCCAAGCCATTCAATATGATGAACATCAAAGTCACGGACAACAATAATATTGGCTGATGGATAAAGAGAGAGGGCTTGGTCAATATGATCAGAAATAACATCAAGAAGAGTGCAGTCTTGAGATGAAGGAGAGCGATATAGAACAAAGAGGAAGGTGATAGAGTGAAGTGATGCTAAACGAAAGCACATAAAAGAG